GATCTTCTGATTCTTTTTCTCCATACTTTGTGCCTGACGGTCATGGTATGATGGACGTGCGATCTGTAGCCTCACTGATGGGTGTCACGGTCGCCTAAAGATAAGCCATCTACCTTTGGCCTATGGAGTGGCACCTATTACAATAACGTCTATAGCTCTAAATACCAGAGACCGCTCTTGGCAGAGTTTGTCTGGTAGGATATCTAATTCTACCCATGAAAGGCCAAGGCAAGTGAAAGCAGAAAGGGAATACTTGACACCCCGTGGTCACAAGGAAGAGCTGTGCAGACAGGGCAAGAGAGCTGGGCACAAGGAGTGACCAGTACCATCTCAGACCCAGCATGTCTCTCCCAGGCAAAACTGTGACCTAACTGCACTCGCTTCATACTTCAACCCCTCCTTCCCTTTCTTCCTCTCACCCCCAGCCTGCTCTCCTTGGCTGGAAGCCTTCCTTCAGTGCCCTGGCCTCCTTCCTTCCCTGACCAGGTGGTCTATAAGCATAGTCCATTCAAGAAAATTCTTGAAATGTGTCTGTGAATCCTCTTGGGTGGGTGACTGAAGGTTCATGCTTTCATGGTGACGACCTGGGTTATATTCCTGGGAAGAGTACATGTAGCAGAATCCACCACCTCACTCCAAGGTACTAAACAACCATGGGAGTGAAGTGAAAGCAGTGGGCTTGTTACACAAGTGTGGCTTCAGCCAGGTTGTTGCCCTTTCACTAATCCTGCCACACCAGCAGCTGCCACTTCTGTGCATGATGCCGTGGGGGCGCTGAAGAAGCATGGATCCGCACTGCCCTTCACAGAAGCCTCTGGTGCCTAGAAAATAAAAGCAGCAGCTGCCTGACATTTCCTTGGAGAAGCAGATGAAATTCAAGGTTTTCTTCTTCCTACAAACATAAACACAAAAATGTGCAAACAATTTCAGAAGGCTCACGGAAGCCAAGATGTGCTCCCCTGCACTGATGGGAAAGGGCCAGGGAGGACCTGCACCACCAGGGTTTTAAAAATCTGAGCTCAGATGAAATGTGTGAGTCACTCAGTTGTGTCCACTCTTTGCGACCCCATGGACTGTAGCCCGCCAGGCTCCCCTGTCCGTGGAATTCTCCAGGCAAGAGTACTGGAGTGGGTTGCCATTTCCTTCTCCAGGGGATCTTCCTGACCCAGGGATTGAATCCAGGTCTCCTGCATTGTAGGCAGACACTTTAACCTCTGAGCCGCCAGGGAGGCTGAGCTCAGATGGGATATGTGTAAAAATGAGAAAGAAAGAATTTGTTTTTCATTCTTTCTCCTTTCCTCCATCATCCCCATTTTCTGTCCCTCCTTAGGACTGAATCCTTGATCCTAGCCTTGCTCTTCATCTGGATGTAACTAGATGCTGTTGAGACTTAGTGTGACACTTTCAGATAAAATACAGTCAGTTCTGCTATAATGTGACATACACTTTTCTAAAAACCAAGTGCGCTATATAAAATCGCACAAGAAACACCACAGAGCTTATGGGGGAAATAGGATTAAGGGCATAACACAGATTCTGTCAGTGATAAAAGATGATAGGAACCTAAGGAAGAAAGACATCAGTCTTACACATGTTAAATGGTAAAGAAACACATAAATACTATAGTAAATATGGCATTTTGCCTCGGAAAAGACCTGAGGTTTGTTCATGGAGGTGAGTGCAGGAAGAGTCGCAGCTACAGACTATTGAGAAATGGCAACAAAGGCTTCCCAGGACAGAAAGCTGTTTTAACCGCAGATATGGACAGTTAGCTGGTGAGTGTTTGAAGTTCGTGTGCATTTTTTATATTCCTAAATGGCCCAGTTCAGCTGGATTCTGCATTTACCTAGCATTTCTTACAGATGAAATCACATATGAGGAAACACAAAATTCTGGTTATACTCAAATTATGCCCTGGTATATTTGTCACGGTGAGATAAATTCTCATTTTCAATACAAATATTACGGCAGGACTGACTGAATCTAAATTTAAAAAAAGACTACAATCTAAAGAGTTAAAAAACCATTAAGACCACAATGAAATGATGCTGTAAAAGGTAGCTAAGTTAGTATTTCTAAGCAGAGAATACGTAACTCAGGTAAATCTAAGTCTCTTTACTTCATTCTAAGATCTTTCTCAACACAGTGATAAATTCTAGCACAATGCAAATTGGGCTCCATAGCTTTGAAACACACTGTCACTCTTGAGTGAGCCCTCTCAGCACCAGGAAGAAGTTGTTAAAAGACACCCAGACTTCCTGGAAAGTCCTCATCGGACATTCTTCTCCCTTATATCCCATACCCAAAGGTAGCTACACTAATCTTACTTTCCTCTCATCTTTATGATTCCTGATCCCCTCTATCTGCACCCCAACAGTCCAGCAAACCAAATTCCAGCCTTTACTAGTTCTCTCCTAATCACCTTTTCCTTCCTTTCTCACTGCTTTTCCAAAAGTAAAAATTCCACACATAGGTGTGTTACTTTCCTATTACTACTGTAACGAACTATCACAAATTCATTGGCTTAAAGCAACCCAGATTCATTATTTTACAGTTCTGGATGTCAGAAGTCCAAAATGAGCTTAAAGGGGCTGAAATCATGGTGTTGGTCACATTTCTTCCAGAGGTTCTAGGGAAGAACCTGCTCTTTGTCTTTCCCAGCTTCAGGAGGTGTTTGGCTTTTCAAGCCTCGTATCACTCTGACCTCTGCTTCTGTCATCACATTTTTCTTGACTCTGACCCACCCGCTCCAACCCCACCACTTCCTCTTACAAGGACCCTTGTGATTACTAGGTCACATGGATAACCAGGAGAATCTTCCTCCCAAGATCCTTAATTTAATCACACATGTAAAGTCCCTTTGATTACCTTGATGGTAACATATTCACAGGTTCCAGGGATTAGGATGTGGACATCTTAGGGTACCATTATTCAGCCTACCATACCAGCAGTGATATTCAAAATGCTTAACAACTGAAACGCTACTTAAAGCAGGGGATCTGACTCTCAGAAAGGTCTTGGGTCTTGATGTTAGAGTGAGACTTGCAGATTCTGGTGTTCTGGTTGATGGACTGTGGAGGGCCAGGAGGTCTAGGCTGATGGTGAGGCACTCCAGAGTTGGGACAAGTGATTCTCTCTAAGCAGCACTAAAGACTTCAAAACTTTTTTATGGCAAATATAGCCACACCCATGTGTTTTGGCTGATCTATCTGTGCTCTTCCTTCCATGGATCAGCTTAGCTTCTCTAGGCTTTTATAAATTTTCCTCTCTACCCTCATCCATGATCAGCACACATATCTTCTGAGATTTTATTGTGTGATGTACTTGGCCCTTTTCCCCTTGAAATGTCTAGTTAAGCCTCATTACAACCCTATGATTAGATTCTATACTTATCTTCCTTGTGCAATAACATATCCAGGGTCATATGTACAACAATTAATATGTAACTCATTGTTAGGGCCTGGATCTGAATTCAAGCAATATGCTTTAGAAATTGGGCTCTTTAACACTGTGGTTAGTATCTTCAAGGAGACTCACATCTCTTTAACAAATAAAGAAAGCCTGAACAAAGCTGATGTGGGCAATGTTGAGGTGCAAAGTGGCAACCCCTAAGTCCAAATGCAGTTCATGGGTTTATACATCAACCCTACCGTATAGAATTCAATGATTATAGAGAGGACTTCTTGATCACATGGTAAGATTTTTATTATTCTGTAGGACCAAACCTGAATACTCTTGAATAGATATTCTATAGTATAAAGATTAAAAACAACCTTCAAAGCAAGTCCAAAGTCCAATGTATCTTAGACACATAACATTTTAGAAAAAAGTACAGCTGTAAGAATGTGATGAAATAGATGAAATAGATGGATAAAAAAATCCATAGCCAAGAGTTTTATTGTAAGACCCAATTGACTATGCTACAATACTACTTCCATGATTCTATAATATCATATTCAGCTTTCTCAAATGAGTAAAGAGTAGCAGTGACAGGAGAAGACGCAGAGAGGAGGATGACAGAACCACGTGTGGACTTTGAGCCTTTCATTAATCTCTATCTGATCATAGTTAGAAATGTATTGTTCATACCCAGAGAAAATGATATCTAACAGAAATAAGTAACACTACTCAAAGAAAAGAAGAGTCGCAGATATTTTTGGATCTTGCTGTTTGAAATAAAATTTTGGTTTGCAGAGGAATGAGTATTAGCTTTTTCATTCACTTAATTGTTGCATTATTTTTTAATGAAGGTAGGATGAAATCTTGATTGGGGATGGAATAATATGTATAAATCAGATGGCTAAGTAGAGTGTTAAAGGCTGAAATTAATGTTACTTAAAGATGCTTGGGAGCAGAGTCGGAAGCACATTCTACTTTAAACCGTTTAACCTGATTAAGAAAGTAAAATATTCTTGCTAATTTGGAAAATACACTTGATATTTAAAATTTCCTAAAAGGTAGCTGCCCTCCTACCTTTATGATGGATTATTGGATGATCTCAGTCAAAAAGCCTAGTTATTACCATAAGAAAAAGTCCTGCAAGAAAGCACATGTTGCCACTTTACTCATTATTGAAGTGCCCTTATGACTGTCAGAGAAAACAGGTAAGATGCTAGGGGGGGCAGAGAAAGAGAGATCAAAGTGTTTTGTTTACTTCTTTGAAATCTTGTAGTACTTACTATTTATTGTGCATACCTCTTGATTCATGCTGAAAATTGGAATTCACCCATGTCTCTCTTTTTCCTGTCTAAGATGCAGATTGGGCACATTTTGTTAACTCCATCAATCCCTGCCCCCACGCATTAGCACATGCACACGTATACCTAGCCAGTGGAAAAGAAAAAAGAGTTACTCACATTCATCCATTTTACAAAGATTTCCAGGCTGCAATGGGAGGGCTTTACCTCTCCCTGAAGGATGAATAAATAGGTAGCTTTTCTGACAACCTGTTCACAAACTGAAGTGAAAACTGAGACCAAGATCTTGCTCTACTGGTACTTATGAGATCCACTCCTGGCAACATGGAGAGAATAGTCATTTGCCTGATGGTCATCTTCTCTGGGACTGTGGCCCCTAAGTCAAGCTTCCAAGGGCAAGATCGCCTCTTTATTAGACTCCGTCAACTTATAGACATTGTTGATCAGCTGAAAAACTATGTGAATGACTTGGTAAGGCCATACTTGGCACAACAAAATTCAAATAATATTCTTCAGTTACTATAAAAGGAGCTTTTTGACTTAGAAAAATAACTCGGAACTAATTTTCTTTTGCTGTAGGATCCTGAATTTCTGCCAGCTCCAGAAGATGTAAAGGTAAGACCAGTTGAATTTGTCTGTGAAAATGCATTTGATAAAAGTTTTAAAATCCAATTAAGGAAGGCTTTAATGTGAATATTTAGAAATAGACTTAATATCAATGAATTTTGTGGTTTAATAATTAGTTATTTAATAAATACATTTACTATATAGTTATTTCTAATTTGCCCAAATATTCATTGATTTACCAACAAGCCAACCTATAAAACACTACATACCTTATATGATATATTTTTATCTTCAAGTATCTCTACCAAGTAGTACTGTTGAGACAGAAAACAAAACTAGAAAATAAATCTATACTATGATCATTTTCTGAACAATGACCAAGTAATTACATTTTAAGAGTCTGTGCATAAAAGTTCTTGAGCCTTCTTTGTAAATCTATGAAACATAGACACAAACTATAGAAGCAGGATTCAGTTTTTGATAATTAGAAAGGAAGGGAGAAAGAAAGAAAGGCAGAAAGGAAGGAAGGGTAAAAGGGAGAGAAAGAGAGAAAGAAGGAATACAAAGAGAACGAAAGAAAGAATAGATTACAGAACAGCATGGAGGAATACTGGTGTGGAAATCAAGGCTATTCTTTAGAATATAATTCCCGTATACCTTTGGACTGAATGGGTCTTGTCTTTGGCCTTTGGTGAGGTCTTTTGAAAAGACAATTTTCAACAACTCATCCCGTTCTCTTAAGCCATTTAAATCCATGAGGTCCCAGGAAGAAGAGGCGTAGCATGTAGTTCAAGAGTACTGTGCGCTGATCTTTCCCTTGGTAACTTCTATCTAGTCTTAAGGTTTGGTATCCTGAGGATATAAATGCATTTGGGGGAAACAGTTTCACTGTCACAGAGCTTTAACTGCATAAATTAGAATAACTATAAAAGTACTACCAGTAATTAGGACACTACAAAGGGGAGACTTATGAAGATACATTGCAAAGAAAACAATTATCGTAAATGACTGTGTAAAAGTTTAGAAAGTGAATGAGTCACAACTATTGCTTTTCTCTAAAATTCACTCTCTGTCTCTGAGCCTAACCACTCTCATTTACTAAGTCCTTTTCTAATAAGCAGCATCTAAAATGAAAGTAGCACATTCAGCTTATTGGAAAGACTTTTTCAAAAAGACTGTTTCTTAATGTCCTAATTATCAAAACATGTATTTTTCAGCATCTCATGTCCTTTGTCTAACTGCTGTGGTTAGAGTCCTTTCTGGAGTTTCTTAGCTGCAGTCTATGACTTGCAAAATAAGAAAGATATCCCATTTTCTAAACTGTGTTGATCCAGTGGATACTCTATATGCTTTGTTAAAGCAGATGTTTTTTATCTTATATCATAATGACAAGATTTTGTCTCAGTGACATTGTATCTATCTAATAATCAGATCAAGCAATGCTAGCTATGATACAAGTGAATAATGGTATAACTAAGATTTTTAAGCCATGCTGGCAAGCAAACCAGGAGAGAACAAAATAGATCAAGGTCATAGTAGCGTTGATATCAAGTTTTTCAGGACTTGCATCACAGCAGAGTCTATCAGAGATTTTAAAAGATTAAAAAGTTGAATGAAAATAAATTCATTAAAATGTTGCATATAAATGTTGACAGTGATTAGCTAAGGTTGCTAATTGGCCTCACCAGGTATCTTTCTTTCTCTTTCTAATTATATAACCAGTGGTCCTCATCTGGTGGTGACTTTGCCCTCTGAGAACATCTGGCATTATCTGGAAAAATTTCTGGTTGCCACAGTTGTGTGTGTGTAGGTTTCTATTGGCATCTAATAGGTAGAGGCCAGGGATGCTACTAAACATTCTAGAATGCACAGGATAGCCCTAACAACAAAGAATTATCCATCCCCAAATGTCAACAGTGATACTACTGAGAAACCCTGATATAAACATAGTTTGTAAGCGGGACAAAGGTAATTTTACCCCATTGGCAAAACTTCCTAGTGTGAATGGCCAGGGCTTTCTTTGGGGGAAAAAAAACCTACATAGGTCAAAAGGAAACTGTAAGGAGGCAAGTATTTTAAAATATTCAATTGCAGTCAACAAAGTCAAGTGCACCTACTTGCAAGAGCAGCACTTGACTGTTCTCTGGCTAAAGAGAAGAGTGGTTACTCTTGCTTTTGATTTCCTCACTGCTTCCTCTATTCTGCAAAACTAATGCTTCCAGGTGTTAAAGGATGAGGGAAGCAAAGCCTTGCCCTCTGAGTCTGCAAGGCACAGCAAAGGAAAGCAGTGGTTCTGCTCCCAGATGGTGGTGCTATACATGAACTCAGGGCCATCCTGAGTGACAGGGCACCTGCAGCAGCCTGAATCAAGATTAGCCTCTCTACTCCCCGCCTCAATGCATCCTTAAAGCAGTTAGCAGGGCAGCTTCTCTGCTTCTTTTCCTGTTTGAGGCTGCCTTTGATGTGCATCTGAAGCCGAATCCAGCAGCTGTTTGTCCTGGACCACAGACTGCCAGGGACAGCTGTGCTGCTTGCAGAAAGCATAAAGCAAAATTGCACTGGGTATAGACACAGGTGAGCAAGGAGGCGCAGCAGAGATAGCACATCTGCATCAGTAGGGGCTTCGGTGACCAGATGCCATTCTGAGGTATTCAGAAAGTCTTTCTCAGGTGCAAAATCTTTGCTCACTTGTCTTGACCACTCTTGGCAATACTGTCTTGAGGGAGTTCATTTCATAGGCCCCTACACTTCTTTGGAACCTAATTTTCTTTCAACATACACATGTTAATGTTAACTCAGCAAAATGGGCCTCTGTGAGAAATGCTGGTTTCTCAGATCATCACGGATGAAGCAGTTAGTGTTTTCAGTTTCAGCTGGAAAATTTACCTCTTTAAATATGAATATTATTTTTTTCCAGTAAGTTAAGCCGGTTGTGGTCAAAAAGAAGAGAAAAGAAAAAACTTCAACAAACATGAACATGTGGTTTTCAAGGAAAAAAAAGTGCTATAATTAACATTTATAAATAGTTTCTATTAAATAAGCATTTTGGCAAACATATGTAAAGGACATTATTTCACCCTGATGACAGGCAAGCGGCTCTGATATAAGGAAACCAGATAAGCTGGTTCTCGGCTTGTGGCTACGTATGCAAAGCAAATCTGATGGGGTTGTGTCTTAAAGGTGCATGTTATTAACCAACATTCATATTGGGTAAGCATATAGGCTGGAAAATGCAAAGCAGGCCAGATGCTATTTTCAGCTGATTGTCCATGGGAAGATTCAGGTAATATTGTTGTATATATGATGGGCCTTGTAGGAACTGAGAGAAGTTGCAGCTTCTGGATACATGGCAGTAGCTTCACACACATTGGTGAAATGAAGATAGAGCAACTTTGTCGGGGGTGGGGGAGAATAGCATCATATACAAACATTTGCTCAAAGAAAAAATTAACCTGAATACAAGTTCTCAGATCAGCATGAAAATGATTCCAACAAGTCAGTATACATTTTGTTCTCCCAGTAAATTCCATTTCATTTTCAGTTCAATTTCTAAGATTCTGATTTATTCACGAGCCACTGGTTATTTGACTAAACCCAGAATCAAGGTTTTGATCCATGATCTGCTCAATTCTCCATGCTCTGAGACATTACTCTTACTTTATAAGGGACAGTCTTCCCTCCCTTGTGGTTGTGGGGGTGGGGAGGGCACATCTCAAATTCTTATCCTTAACCACTTGATTCAGGCAGATTCCACCCTGACTGACTTGAGAGTGTGAATGGGATTTTAGAAAAGTCACACATGGTCTATGGCAGGTGGACTCTATCTTAGATGTGGAATGTACCATCCGAGGTAGGCACCCACTTCATTTCCCCAAAGAAGGGGTGTTAAACTCACTTAATTCATTTGTCCACTCTGCAAATATTTGTTGAGCATTCACTATGCCAGGCATTGTACAGGAAAGGTGCTGTTCAAGACATGTATGTCACTACTAGAAACTCCTATGTACACTGAGGAGAGAAACCGACCAATGAAACAGTTTTTAAGCAGACTACTACAGCATAGGGGCTTCCCTGGTGGCTCAGATGGTAAAGAATTTGTAATGCAGGAGACCCAGGTTTGATTCCTGGCTTGGGAAGATCCCCTAGAGAAGGAAATGGCAACCACTCCAGTATTCTTGCCTGGAGAATTCCATGAACAGAGGAGCCTGGTGGGCTACAGTCCACGGGGTCACAAAGAGTCAGACATGACTGAATGACTAACACACCATACCTTAACTCACCTAAAGCTGCCACAAGCCATAATGTAACTCTTAGAGTGTCATAATTTATAAAGTGTGTTCTGCAACCAAACTAACCCTCCCAGAAACACCAAAAGTTCTGCCCAACACACAAACCTCAAAATGGCATTAGAAAGAACTGTGGCAAAGTCAGGCTCTATCTTCTTGTCTGTGAGACAGGGAAACGTCCTCCCACCCCTAAATGGGGAAATTTCACATGATAAGAGTCTCCTCTTCAGCCCAGATTAAGTAGGACATGAATCATTCCTTATTTTCCTGATGAAATGAATGTGATCCAAGGCACTGCTGGAAAAAAGGATTGGGAAGGTAATTTTTACTTTCTGAATTACTTTTATTAACCTGCACATAAATAATTTCTCTTGCAGAGACACTGTGAGCGGTCAGCTTTTTCATGTTTTCAGAAGGTTCAACTGAAGTCAGCAAATAATGGAGACAATGAAAAGATAATCAACATATTAGCTAAACAGCTGAAGAGGAAACTACCTCCCACAAATGCAGGGAGAAGACAGAAACATGAACTAGTAAGACTGTCATTTGTCATCTATCTCATTTGTACTTATTAACTATATCTATTACTTTACACAATTTCATACACACACACACACACACACACGCAGCCAGAGCCTCCAGTGCCTTCCTGCCAGTTACATGTTATACCTTATCATATAGAGTGTTTTGAGAAGTGAAATCACCTCTTTTTAGTCCACAGACTTGAAAGTACTAACAGCCAAATTAGAATTTGCTAATGGTCTCTGGTAGCTGAAATAAGTTAATGAGGAAGTCATTAGGCAGAGGATCCAATTGTGACTTAAGAATTAAAAAATATTCTCCGCTCATTATATGATCACATATAACTTGCAATTTTATTGACTAACTAAGCTAGGCCCTAGCTTTCCTACAAGAAAAGAAATAGCCTTCAAGACACCAGGATAAATCTCAATCTCTGCCTTCCTCTTTTAAAGAATATTACCATCCTATATAATTGCAGAGTCAGTGCTAGATTTAAAGTGATAGACCCCATTATTTGGCTAGGGAATTTCAATATTCCCTAGTTTTGGGGGTCCTGAGAACCTTTTGTATATTTCGTCTTATGCCAACTCATGAGCAATGCTGATAATCTCATGAGTAATTCTCGCACTAATCAAAACCAGTGGATGAACACTTAAGATATATTACTAGAATTTTTTTTGTCTCCCTCTTCTAAGGGATTCCACATGTGAGCAAATGAACTCTTAATTACAACATCAAAATGATTTTTATTTCCTTTGATTGCTTGGCAAGGTTAGAATGTGAAAAGTATCTCTCCAAAACTTTTCTCAGGAAGAAAAGAGCTGAGCCTGTCTCTGAAACAAATATCAAAGATACAAAATGGTAGTACTGGCACTGAACTTAGAACTACTCAGTGAAGCACCTTCATTTGATAGATGGGAAAATGAGACCAAGGATGTTAAGTGACTTGTCCCAAGCCCCACAAATATTAAGTGCCAGAATGAGAGTTAGAACTTAAATCTCTTATCTTTCAAATATCTCTCACCACAACTTCAAACTGGCATTAGAGATGCTAAATAGCAAGCAATGGTCTGGTGTCTGGAATTCCAATAGGAATAGGATAAAAAACATAAAAAAGATTTTTTAAAAAAGAAATACAACTGGGTAATACACATATAAAGAATTGTTTAATCTCCTCATAAACAAATAAATTCAAGTTAAGAAAAGAAATCCTATTTTTTTCCAATTAAAAATTTTTAACAATGCCCAATAATGGTAAGAATGTTCTACGTGAATAGAGATAAAATAGTTTAATAAGGTACCTCAAAAGCTTTAAAATATTTTATCCTTTTAACTTAATTTATTAATTCTACTTTTAGTAGTTTATTAAACAAAATAAAGAAGTTTATGAGACACTACTCAGAGATGTTCTCTGCAGCACTGTATACAATAGTGAAAAGTCAGGAGCAATCTATGTGTCCAAAAATAGTAACACTTCAATCCTATGTATGAATACAAAGCAACTGTTATGGGCTATATTTTTGAAGAATATTTAATATGTAGGAAATGCTTGTGATATGTTAAGTGTAAAAAAGGCAAATTAATAACCAGTGTAAACATAAATGTGAAGAAAAAAATTATCAAGAGGACATATATCTAAATATTGCAGTTATTATCTCCGAGATTAGGATGTCAAGTGATTTTTTTCAGTTATTTTCTGAACTATTTCACGTGTTTCTCAAATTTTTTTTTCAGTGAACATGATTTATATCTCTAATTGGAAAACATAAAATTTGAATGAACATTTTATTGAGTAGGAAAAATGTTTTAGAGAAAATTATTACTCTTTCATTGATTTCTAGACATGTCCTTCTTGTGATTCTTATGAGAAAAAACCACCCAAGGAATACCTAGAAAGACTGAAATCACTCATCCAAAAGGTATATAACAAATTACATTTGATTTTCTATTTCTTCCTTATCCAGATGATTTCTTAAGTTGAGGTTACTCATGATATTCTATTTTCCCAGATGATTCATCAACACCTGTCCTAGAACACATGGGATACGAAGGTTCCTGAAGATCTCACTTGAAGCCGGACACTATATTGCATACTTTAAAACAGCAGTGAAACCCACTTCTTGGTATTCCAAGTGGACGAGTACAATGTATTAGTGATGGGGGAACACTCAGATGAGTGTTCAAGGTCAGGATTATTTCTCCAAAATCACTATGCAGTACTTCGGTTTGATCTACACGCTCTGTTTAGTCAACTTGAAAAAATTTTCTACTCAATTTGAGTCTGATTTCTTATGTTATAGATTTCTATAGCTTCTAAAGTTTTTACTTTATCTTACTGCTCACCTATGACACTTCTTGGAGAAGCTTAAAAATTTTTAACCAAAATTTCAGTTTGGGAATTTGTTGATCTTATATTAACCTTGATCTTGATTGCAAAAAGAATGAGGTTTCTGATGATCAGAACTTAAAAGGTGTAATACCTTCACTCAATCTGAAAAATATAGAAGCATAGGGTGAAAATAAAAGTTGAAGTCTTTGTACTTTTAAGGAAATGAAAACTAAGTGTTTAAAATCGATATCTGAAGAGGTTTTTTTTTTAAATCTCAGAATGTCTAACATATAAATACATGATTTATTTATGTACCTGGGGGATAGTTTTACCAGATGGCTCCCAAAATTTTGACTTCTTTATTGGAATCTGTCAAAAGTATTTTAATGCTATACATATGAATGTATTTACGGAATAGACTCTTCTGGACTTTTTTCCTCTAAATGGGTATAATAGTACCTTCCCCAACTCAAGTCCCTTTATAAGTTAACATTCTAAGCCTTTGGAAAAGGCAATTAAAATCGGTAGAGGGACATACTTTAGATGGTCTTCTGGAACTAAACAGAATTTTTAAAAATCTTGTAGCTCTTTTCTTAAATTGTTAGAAAGACTGTATGGGAGTGAGCTTATAATACCAAATGTCTGTTTCCTTCTTCTTTTCTGCTTTTTAAACAGACAGACATTTTGTGTTTGCATGCTCTGCATAAGGCAAATTCAGTCACTTATACAAAGTCAAGGTCAGAAGACAAATCAGGAGTCCAGGACTCCTAGTGGAAAACAGACTTTTGCATAAGTATCCCAATCTTTACTATCAATCATGGGTAGTAAAAACAAGCAACCTGCTCTAACTGCCATTTCATATCAGTCCAGCAGTTTATTTAAATATAAAGTTAAAAACGCTAGAAAAATTAAGTTTTCACTAGAATGTTATAAGCTATTTGAAAATTTCTTATTGTTAAAGTATCTGTGAGTATGCAAGAGGATGTTGTATGGAAAATGTTTTACACTCTTAAGAAGAAAATGATCTACTTTAAAATATTTTTTGAACAAGTATAGATAATTTATGGTTCTCAAACGTAGTTAGGAATCAGTATTTCATCAACTCTCAAGGAGATGTGTGATCGTCAGAAACAGGGTGTTCTCTTTTAAATTTTTAAAATGTTATCACAAAGAAATCATATGCATTGTGATCATAATACACACCTAAAGCCTGCCTCAGCGTCAGGCCAGGTTATTGGGAAAAAGTGGAAAGTGAGCATGAATTTGACTTGGGAAAGATGGAGTCCTTATTTCTCATTTCTGGCTTTATTTATAGTTGGTTTCTTTGACACTGTGATTTTATATTTAAAACAATGTATTTATTTTGGTGTGTTTACTGTTAAAAATCTCTGTTTTAATCCTTTTGACCAGAAATTCTACCTTAAAAGTAAAAATAATTTAATGGGGCGAGTTTTAAACTGAGTTTAAAGACTCAGGTAAAGATCCTGGCAACATCCCAAGGAAAGCAATGCATCAGCATATACAAGATGAAGAAGTGAGACTCAAACTGCTCCATCTTCACTACTTTGTGTTCAAGACCAGACCTCCAAAAGGATCTGGGGCTGACCTACCACAATTGCTGTTCACCTATGGATGGTGATACAGGAGACCTGAAATCCCACTGGATATGAAGTTATGGTCACTTGCTTAAATTTTTTTTATCTATAGAATGAGGGTGTTGGACTTAGTCTCTAAGGAATATTCTATCTTTTTTGAGCTTTATATGTCTATGAGTCTCTAAAGTTCTGGATACTCTCACAGGAACATCTGACCACAACTCTGAGTAAAACTTTCTACTGAACCGATCATTTGTTCAACATTATTTCAACAGCGTTTTTAGCAACACTTGCTGCAGGAACAAGGGATATGTTTAAAAAAAAATTGGGAAAGAAGGAAAAAAGAAAGAAGGGAGAAAGGAAGGAAAGAAAGAAGGCAGGAAGAAAAAAGAAAGAGGTTTCTCTAGGTCATGGGGGTTCAGGGAAAATTAATCATGACTTTTACGATTTTAGCTGAAAGTGTCTGCTTTGGACACATAAAATTATAGCATTATTATTCTATAATATTTCTCTATTGTATTATTACATTTGCATCTGAAAATTTAGCTTTAATATGAATTATGTACTTTATAACTTAATGATTATTTATTATATATTTGGTTTTAAATGTTTATGTTCATGGCTTCTTATTTAAGACCTGGTCATATTAAATACTACCCAGTCAGTACAACTGTCTTTTGTGATTCCCTGGAAACCTGTAATTTAACAATCTCAGTAGAAAATAAAAGATGATCCTTAGTTTCTGAGAACATGAAATTTTTACATGTATGTAATAAGGACAATCTTTTCTCCTTACATACTTTCACTGAAATAGGACTTTCCACTTCCTGCCATTAGTTCAAGGACACCACTTCTGTGCAGCTCTCCCAGATGGTATGGCAGGTCCAAGAGCAATTGAAGATATCCTTCCTAACACCTACTGCATGCATATTCTTGCACAAAACTCATTTCTCCTTTGAAGTTTGTCCCATCTAGCTTTGCTGTCCCCTTACTTTTTATTGATGACTGTCATCTCCTGAACACTCCTCCATGTTCACCAAGGACTCAGGCATGTTCTTTTCCGGAATCAAATTTATTCCATCACCCAGGGTGACTTCAGTGACTATGAGGAGGATTCCACCAACACTATAGCTTCCCAGAAACTTGAGTGCCTCAGTTTCAAATATGGGCCTCTTTTACCCTATCACCAGACTATAGCACTTAGAACCAGTCTCTGTCTGAAATCTTTATATATAAAACCCCATCACCTACAGTCTCCTTGCTCTCAAACTGCCCTCCTTCTACTAATGTGTCCTAAGACTTAACATGATAGCCAGGCCTTCACCCTACTGATTCTCTCAGTTTATTAGTTCCCCTCTTTCCCCACTGAGCCTAGGCACCTGATCAAACCCTTGAACTTCAGACCCAGCAGTGCACACGATCTCATTCTTCTCAAGGACTTGACTACAAACTCCCTACCTAGATGTCTGTCTTGCTTCCCTAACCCAGCTTCAGACACTGGCTCTGGTCCCTTACCTTTGGAGACCCTCACAACCCCCCCATCTGGCTTACTGGAGTCACTTCTCCATTTCACTCTCAGCTCGAAACACTCACCTGCTTTCAACATCTACCTCCATCTACTCTAGTCCACAGGTCAGTGTGGGCATGGCCTCACCTCATGTGGAAAAGGGAGGTTTGGGTATTCATGTGAAGTCAAGCTCACTGAAAGAGTAGTCTACACATGTGTCTAGATAATCTCACCTCCTATCCACTCCAAACCACTATCATCTGATTTCTACCCAAACCACACATTGCCAGTGTATCATGAAAATTGTCCTTTCTCTGATCAACAGTGAGCTCCAAATTACCCAGCTCACAAACGTGTCTAAATCCTTATTTTACTTGATCTCATTGTGCCCTTGGCTACCTTTGATTACTCTCTCCTTTCCCTCTTTGACTGTGGAGGCCGCTCTTCATCTTCCTGCGTGTTTACCTCTCTGACCATTTATTCTCAGTGTCAGATGTTGGTTTGCTTTCCCGTGGCTCTGCTTGGAAGGTGATGTTCTTGAGGATTCTATCCCTGGGCACCTTTTCATTGTAAATCTTTTCCTTCAACAGTCAAATAAGTTCCTGTTGTTTTAGATACCCCTGTACATGTCATTGACCCCTATATCTACAGATAAAGGTTATACCTCTCTACTAATTTCTAGGTCCGTATGGGAGACATTCAGTTTATCCTCCAGGTTCTTCATCTTTATCTCACATGCCAAAATTGATCTCATCACTTTCCCCAACTTCCACGACCTTCTTTGTTTTCCAGCTCTCCCTGATCTTTGTCATTTCTAGTTTTTTTTTAATTTTATTTTTTTATTTATTTTTATTGAAGTAACACAGGTTTATAACATTTTATATTTCATATGTACAATAATATACTTTGACTTATGTATAACCTGTAGTATGCTCACCACCAAAAATTTAGTTTCCATCTGTCACCATACATTTGATCCCCATTACCCATTTCACCCTCCCCCTCCTGCCTTTTCCATTCAAGTACCACTGCTCCTTCCTCTATACCTACGTTTCTGTCTTAGTTTGGTTTGATTTGATCATTTATTTTGGCTTTGGTTTGCTTCTTTGTCTATTTATAGCACGTCTGAGTGAAACCATATGGTATTTGACTTTCTCTGTTGAACTTATATTACTTAGCATAATACTCTAAAAGTTTATGCAGGTTACTGAAAAAAAAAAAGATTGCATCCTTTATAGGCTGAGTAGCATTCCACTGTATACTACATCTTCTTTATATGTGCCTCTGTTTCATGGGCACTTAGGTTACATCCATATCTTGGCTATTACAAATAATGCTATGATGGCAGTGTTCTCTAATCTTAATTGATGGGAACGCATCTCCCAGCCTCCAGGACTCTCCCCTTCTCTCTCATACACTATATCCAATTTGCCACTAGGCTTTGCTATTTCTAACTTTTAAGTCCATCCTTTCATTTCTATTTCCTCTGCCATTGCCTTAATTCAGGTTCTCAGCAATGGCTGAGATAAATTTTGTTGGGTTTCTAGCTTCTTGTCCCCTCCTCTTTCCAATCTATCTCTGCATGGCCACCAGAGTGATGTT